AAAAAAAAAAAAAAAAAGGCAATTAATTGACCCCTCCCCTCCAAAAAAGAAAGACTTCTAGATTATGTGTAGTCTGATGAGGAGGAGATCCACGCTCGGTTATTAATGCCTCCATGGGCACAGGGAGAGGTAATAGTGGGGCACGTGCCACAGTATTGTCATTTCCAGGTTCAGACGTTAAACCTTCTGTGATTAACATTTATTACTGACCTTGTAAAGGGCAAGGCAGCTGAATGTTTGCCCTGGAATTTATACTTGTCACCTTTTTCGAATCCATTCTCCCCAGGTGGAACTGAGTGTGGAGAAGGAAGTGGCTGGCTTCTGGGTCAAGATCCCCTGTGTGGAGCAGCTGGGCAGCTGTACCTATGAGGACTTCTGTGACTTGCTTGACAGTTTCATCCCCCCAGGACAGTCCTGCCCAGAGCCCCTGCACACCTATGGGCTTCCCTGCCACTGTCCCTTCAAAGAAGTAAGTACTTGGGAGAGGAGAAGCTGACGTTAGCCTGTGTGGCTTGAGTATAATGGGGGTCTGGAGAGAAGGTCTTTATCTTCTCCTGCACATTACTGTCTGTGGATATGTAGGCGTACTTATGTTTTAGGAGCCTCAGTTTTTCCATCTGTGAAATAGGGGACTTGAATTTGGAGTGACCTCCCGAGCCCTTTAGCTATATGCTCTGTGGGCCACAGCTGTCTCTAATCTTGCGTGGCTATCAGGAGAATGGGAGGAGGGACAGGTCACAGCAGTAGTCCTAGAGGTGGCTCCGGGAGAGAGTGCCCCATCAGTAGGCTCCCCTGACCCTGCCCACTTCTTTCCAATAGGGCACCTACTCGCTGCCCACGAGTGACTTCACGTTGCCCGACCTGGAGCTACCAGGCTGGCTCAGCACTGGGAATTACCGCATCCAGAGCGTCCTGAGCAGTGGCGGGAAGCGCCTGGCCTGTGTCAAGATCGCTGCCTCTCTGAAGGGCAAATAATGTGGTAGCTGCCACAGTGGAACAAAGCGGCACGAGGAAGACACAGATCTGCTGCCCTGACCCGTGTTTGCCGAGGCCCGGCTCTGCTCCTCTCGAGTCCCTGTCTACAATGATTCTGCTTCTCTCACTGGAAATCATCATATGCCACCCCCATTTGATGCTGGGGACATGCAGCCTCCACCTCAGGGAGAATGGGCGTGGCAGGTCTTGAGCCCAGGATGTGTGCTGGGCCGTGTGTCACCCCCTTTTCACCCCCAAGGACTTTTCTCTAAGGGTTTCTTTCATTTCCAAAACAGCCAAGGAAAAGGGACCATCATGAACCTTCAGTTCAGACTGACCCAACTATGGCACTTGAAGCACCTTGTGACTTTGTTTCTTTTTGGTCTCTGACTTCAAAGCAGTATTGACGTTTTTCATTCTACTCTGAACCCCTCCTACAGTAAAGGGGCTGAAATAGTTTATCATAGCCTTTTCATCCACTAACTTCTGATTAATTTTTTATTCTATTCTAGGCTTACCTAACCAGCACCAGGCATAGCGTGTCCTGGAGAGGCAGGGTGTGCATGGTGGAGTCTCTTGCCAGAGTTATTTTAGGAACACTCAGGTGTTTAAACTCTTACTCACTCATGTGCTGGCAGGGCCAAGCAAAGACATAAATATTGTCAGCACCATTAGAAAATCTGCTTCCAGAAGTGGCCTCCTCCCTTTTTCCTCATCTGATAAAGGTAATGCACACTGTGACTATGACAAGTATTCCTTACGCCATGCCAAAAATAAATCAATAAAATAACAGCACCTATCATTGACACCAGGCAGCCAATGTCCAGTCTCCAGCTGGGGATGTAACCCGAGATGGCGCATCCCGTTCCACAGAGGCAGCTGTTGTGTGGATGTTGGATGTTCCCAGTCAGTGCCCCATAGAATGTTGCCACATAGTCTCAGTTTTTTTCTCTAGAAGGCAAAAATATCTGGATTTTTATATGAAATCTTGCAATTTTTAAACACTGGCAGTTCTTACTATTTTTATACATTGTGCAAGACGAAGGGGCCACTTGGCCTTGTCTGGGGAAATCTGGCTCATGGGTGACCAGTTTTCAGACTCCAGCATGCCTTGTCCTTTTCTCTGTCACCATTTCTTCCTCCACTGGGCCCAATCCATAGCATCTGGCCCCAAGGAGAAGGCTCTGCCAGCTCTAGGGGAGGCTCAGGTGGCCTCTCAGAGCCGGGAGCTGCAGAGTCGTGAGGCTGCCTGCTCCAGCCTTGGAACCAGTCAGGGCATAGGGGCTGATGCTGGAGAATGGTCCCCAGCAGCTGCTTTGTGGAACAGGGATCCAGTGAAGAGAGGGTAGATCCGATGTTGGATCACCATGTTGTGACAGCTTTCTGAGCCACACATTGGGCCATGTTTTGAACCCATTTGAAGCCTGGAATTGCAATAAAACTTTTTAACTTGCTGAGAATTCCTTTTTTGTATTTATTTATTTATTTAATTTATTTTTGTTTGCTTTGCGGTACTAGGGTTTGAACTCAGGGCCTCAGGCTTGCTCAGCAGGTGCTCTACCACTTGAGCCATTCTGCTAGCCCAAGAAGTCCTTTTTCTTGGCTGCATGTTTCATTGATCATATCTAGGGGGATCTCAGAAACCTGGTGATGGGCTGTTTTTTGTTCTTTTCATAGGACTGAGATGTGAACTCAGGGCTTGGCACTTGTAAAGCAGGTACTCTGTCACTTGAGCCATACCTCCTGTCCATTTTGTTCTGGTTTTTTGGAGATAGAGTCTCACCAACTGTTTGCTTTGGCTGGCCTCAAATCACAATCCTCCTGATTTCAGCCTCCCAAGTAGCCAGGATTATAGGCGTGAGCTCAGCATGATAGGCTGTTTTTGTCAGGAGGATTTATTGAGGCAGTACAGCTGAGTCAAGGCATTTCTAGGGACCCCTCCTGCCTCGTCTCATGAGCTGCTCTTACCTCTCTTCCTTCTCCTTGATCACCCTGCTTCCTAGCTATGCTATTTTGCCACATCCCCCCACCCCCTCTTAACCACCATTGGATCTTTCATTCTCTTACTTGGATTCTAATTCCCAGACTCAGGAAATCATTTTGTGTCTGCCATCCTCATGGCTCAAAGTTCTTTGACATCCCTTGGGGGTGGAGGGGTGAGAAGTTAAAGACTGCATCTCAACTCACAGGACAAAGTGGATTTTTTTTTTTGACAGTACTGCGGTTTGAACTTAGAGCCTCATACTTCCTAGGCAAGCACTCTACCAGTTGAGCCACTCCACCATTCCTTTTTTGTGTTGAGTACTTCACAAACTGTTTGTCTGGGCTGACTTTGAACTGCAGTCCTGATATCTGCCTCCTGAGTAGCTAGGATTACAGGTGTGAGCCACCAGCTCCTGGCTCAAAGTAGATTTTTTTAATATATGTGCTTAATCAACCAGAAAGCCATACTTCATACCATATGCAAGAATGAACTTCCAAATGGATCCAGGATCTAAATGTAAGAAATTGAGCCAGTGCTGGTGGCTCATCCCTGTAATCCTAACCACTTGGGAGGCTGAGATCAAGAGGTTTGAGTTTCAAGGCTAGCCTAGGTAAATAGTTCACAAGACCCCACCATCTCCAAAATAACCAGAGCAAAAATGGACTGGAGGTGTGGCTCAAGTGAAGGAGCACCTGCTTTGCAATTGTGAAGTCCTGAGTTCCAACCAAAGAAAAGACAGAAAAAAAAAAAGGAAACCATGCAATACTAAAAGCAAACATGGCTGGAAGACTCAGCAGAAATAAAAGGTTGATAAATTTGACTACATAAAGTGGAAACTGTAAGACTGGGAGAAAGTTTGTGTAGCATAGATCACTGACAAAGCATGACACTGATAGAAAATAATCAGGAAAAGACATGAACACAAATACTCAAAGATATAAAAATGGCCCTTAATAATGAAAAATGTCAGCCCGGTGCTGGTGGCTCACGCCTGTAATCCTGGCTACTCAGGAGGCAGAGATCAGGAGCATTGTGGTTTGAAGCCAGCCCAGGCAAATAGTTCTCCAGACCATATCTCGAAAAAACCCTTCACAAAAAAAAAAAAAAAAAAAAAAA